GAAAAGGGTGTTATTTATAGGGGAGCCAATGACAACTTAATTATTTAAATTAACAAGTAAATTTTGTAAATATTTATGGTATTCAACATAAAATTCTGGCACATGTACACATTGTGGAATGTCTTTGTTGACATATATATGTATTATCTCACCTACTTATTATTTGGGCATGCGAATACTTCAAATCCACTCTCAGAAAATTTCAAATACACAGTATGTTGCTATTAACTGAAGTTACCATAACGTATAATAGATCTTTTGAACTCATTGATGCAGTCTAACTGAAATTTAATATACTTTGATTAACATCCCCTGCCCTCAATTAGCCATCTCTGGTAACCACCATTTAACTCCATAGTTCTTTGATTTTTGACTTTTTTACACTGCATATATAAGTGATATCATGCAGGATTTGCTTTTCTGTGCCTACCTTGTTTCACTAAGGATGATATCCTCCAAATTCATGCATGGTGCTACAAATGGTTGGATTTCCCCTTTCGTGGCTGAATTGTGTTCCATTGTGCGTGTATAGAACATTTGTTTACCTATTCACCTATTCAAGGTAATTACATCCCCTCCATAACTTGGTTACTGTGAATAATTCTGCAATGAACACTGGCACGCAGTAATCTCTTTGATATATTGATTTCGTACCCTTTGAATATATTCCTAGTAGCAAGACTTCAACTACTAGTAGAAGGAAGTTGTAGAGTAGTAGGAATCATATAGCAGTTCTATTTTCAGTCTTTTGAAGTCTTAATACTTTTGAAGTCTTTTTCAGGCTATTTTCAGTCTATATCATGTTCTATAATGCTTGTACTAATTTGCATTTCCTTCCCTAACATACAAGAGTTTCCTTTACCCACACACTTACCAATACTTATGTGCTTTGAATACTAGCCATTCTAACAGGTAAGAGGTGACAGCTTATTGTAGCTAGTATTTCACTGATTATTAGTGATACAGAGCATTTTCTCATATATTTTATAGCCACCTGTATTTATTCTTTCTTTAAAATTGTATTAGTATACATTTGCCATACACAGTGCTCACATTCATTATAGGAAATTTGTACCTGTACATAGTAAATCTTAATTCTTTTTTTCCCTCCTTCAACCCCACTTCCCCCTCTCCATTTACAGAAGCTTTGTTTCCATTCTTTTCTTCCATTCTTTATTTTTAATCCCTTTTCCTCCTTCTCCTTCCTTTGCACCCTCTGAGTCTGTCTCAGGATCCTGCCTCTTCTGTTCATTAGTGATGAGAGGTTGCAGGCTGTTTGGCATAGCACCCAATTGTCCCCCAGACAATCTAACTATTGGCTTAAAGGGAAGATCAATTGATAACAGCAACTCTGTCACCTTGGCTAAAATATTACAATCAGCAATAACAATAGCAGCAAACTCAAACTGGAAAATGACAAACTGTGATAAGTGATAATTTGCCACCTTTAACCACAGGTTATAACCATTTTGTTATATAGAAAAATTAATGACTAATCAGGAAATTATGTACAGTAAATATTTACTCAGAGAAATTTTACCTAGGAGGAGAAAATTAAAAGGGCAAACAGGGAAAAGTAGAAATAGAGTTTAGAAGCAAGGCTGAAGGACAAAGGAAGCTTACCAACGCTCTAAAACACTGGTGAAGAAGACAGGAGGTAATGAAAGGATGAAAACAAAAACAAAACAAAAAATACTAAAAATAATAATCACCTTTGCAAAGAAACAAAAGCAATCAGAGAGAGGGGAAAAATAAAACCAAATGAACAAAAACTAAAAAAATATTTTTTAAAAAGAAGCTTCTCTGTGATTTCAAGCTTGTGCTTATCTTTTGAGATATATCTATATATATCTCTATCTATCTATCTATCTATCTATCTATCTGTCTATCATTAAAATAAGGGGTGAACTTGATCTAAGCTCATTCAATCAGAGATAGCCCAGGCCATGGGGACTGGGTGTTAAACCATGAGGCTCATGTAGTAGGCAGGGCTACCAAGAGTACTTGGCTGCTGATCTAGCTAAAAACTAGCTTCAAATTCTGTCTACTAATAGGGATGGGATTGTAGTATTTTTTTCAAAATTGATTGTTATTTATTCAAACATAGGGCTGAACACAGCTACAAGTTGGAAGCTTGCTTTTTCTAGGCAGAATCAGAAGCCTGGACTATTTAAAAAAATAAATGGCATATAAACATATACTAATGAAGAATGCCAAATATAATCAGAATTGACCTGATAAACCAGATATTTGATGCATTTCTGGGATAGTAGACTAAGGAGGATTCACACAGACATGTGAATATGTGTATTTATTTTTAATCTATAGTCTATATAAGAAGTATATTATTTATTTATTTTTTTGGTACCTGGGATCGAACTCAGGATCTTGTGCTTGCGAGGCAGGCTTGGTGCCAGTGAACTAAATCCCTGGTCCCATAATAAGTATTTTATTTCTCTTTGCCTTCAAGGACTCTTGGTTCAATCAGTATCATTTTCCCCATGAAACTGCAACTCCCTTTACCTATTCTTTGTCTCAGTATTTCTTTCAATAATGAAAATCAAGGACAGATCAGTTTTTGCATGAATAGGCATGGTATCATGCATTTATTTGTTAAAGAAAGAAATTATCTAAAAATTGTCTTAAGCAAGTATCCTCGTTTCCTAAGCCCAATAGTAAGGTATATATATTTTTTGCAATTATCCTTATATTCATTTTTCCCTTTTGAATTCTATATGTTGCAGTTAGTACAGGCTCTTTTCAGATCCTGTCTGAACTATTACAGTTACCTTTCTACTTTTCTACTTCCCTCCTTGCCTTTTCCTTGCTGCATAAATCCATCCTGCACAAATTTTATAAGACATTTTCTGAAATGTTGACTACAATGCTATTTTTCTGTTTGTTAGCCTTCTATAACTCTAGATTGCTTCTATCAAATGACTTCAAGCATGTCTGAGCGTAATGTTTATGACTATGAGAACTAGGACTCTTCTTGCAAAACCTTATTTATAATTACTCTATCTTTCCAAGGCCTCAGATGAAATGAAATGGTTTCAGGCATTGTCTTCCACAGGCCTACCGCCAGCCCTGTGTTTCCCACTCCTGTGCTTTTTTCTCTTTATGGTTCCATTCCTTAGCCTCCACCTTTTCCATGTCCTACCTGTTCTTCTAGAGCAGCTCAAATTCCAGATGCTTGTGCTGTAATTTTTCTTCTAGCATGATGTGCTTTTCACTGTGCTAAGCATAATTCTAATTTACCTTTCAAATCTTTCCTAACTACCCCGGCATTCAATTTTTCTAGAAAGGAAACTCTGGGGGCTGTTAGATGCCAGATATTGAGCCCTAGTGATCATGGTTGGATAATATATAGTTCCTAATATCCATTATCATATACTCTCCTCTTTCTACAAGCTCCTATTGCAATTACTATCCAGAGAACTGTCTATCAATAGTACCTATGTAGGCATTTTGAAAAATGAATTGCTTTAAATATTAATTAATGTTTCACGTGATAGTTATAGAAAAAACTATATAAGTGATCTTTCATATCTTTTGAATGTATTTATATAAACTTATTTCAAAAATGACCTTGTGAATTAGAAAGTATAGGAAAACACTGATTTATTCAAGTCACATAGCTAGTAGGGCTAAAGGATTCAAATGAAGGTACCTGTGTCTCTCCCTGTGAGTGACACTCTCTAAACTAACTCCCTTTCTCATGATACCTTTTTACATAAAGAAAGATTAATCTTAATTACTCAAATGTGAATGAATGATCTGTATTTTAACACCGCACCTCATCTTTTCTAAAAGATTTGCTTTTGATTTCTAAATTAAATCCTTCACTTTCGGAAAAACAGAAGGGGCACTGGAGTGGGTTTTTTGTTTTTTGTTTTGTTTGTTTTTGTTGTTGTTGTTTGTTTGTCTTTTTAAAATGTGTCCAAGCATTTATAACACATACAAGAAAAATGACCCGATTTCCTGCCTGGCTGAGTAAAACAAATTCTTCACCTTGGCACCTCAGCCTACAGATGTAATAAGAGCCTTTACGGTCAAAGAGACCCGCAAACGGAAGACCTGCTGAGCAGAGACCTACTTTCCCAGCTCGGTTCAACGGTGTTGTCTTTCCTGCCAACTGACCAGGAAGTAGCAGCAGCAGGAGAGGAGAGACTGCAGGTAGGTGGGGAGGCGATCGTTTTAAAAGCCCTAAATCCCTTGCAGGGAAGAAGCAGCTGCTCCTAGTTTTTCTAAACATCTGTCCTATCTGTCCCTGGCTGTATCTCACCCTTCGAAGGCTTGAGGTAGTCAAACATGGATGTGAGGAGGAATCACTTCTGAAAACTGGTTGGTGAGTCGAAATGGACCTAAACGCCACCCAAAAGTTTGTACTGTTGAGAAGAGGGCTGTTGGGGCTCTTAAAAAGGATAGCTATTTCATTCTTTTATTTTTCTGAAAGGATATACAACTCTAAAGGACAGAATCAGGATTTAAAACATTGCCAAAATTGGGCTGTAAGCCCTGGGGTATTATTTCACAAGACATAGGTACCCCTAAGCAATCACATTTTGATTTTAACCTCCAGGGGAGATATAGCCACTGATTTAAAGGAGTAACAATGATACTGCAGACACTACACCACTTTTATGATAGAATGAGCTGTGCACCTGTTGCACCACGGCATTTAATAGCCTGTGCCCCTCGAGAAGGAGGGTTCTATTTTATTTACTTATTTTTCCCTAGTACTCAGAAGAGCGGCTGGAACCTAGCAATCATAAAATAGAGATTTATAAATGAATGACGAAGTTAAAATAAAGGAACAGGATATTTCCTTCGGTCCTCTAGAGGCGGCATAGGGGAGGGACTCAGCCTTTCGGCCCGCAGGAATCGCAGGGCCAATCCGCAGACTCGGATCTACAGCCCTAGGTGCGGCCCCGCCCCAGAGCGCGCGCGGCCACGCCCCTCCCCTGGACCAGTCGCTCGGTGATGTCTCCCGTTCCATTTATAGGATTCGGGGAGGGGCCAGCCAAGCGCAGGCGCAACGGGAGGCGGAAGTAGGAACTGGGAAAGGAGGAGGGAAAGCGTTTGCTTTGTTTTCTCCTCCTCCCGCGGGAAGAGGCGGGTGCTCGAGCTCGCTCAGGCTCCTCCCTTACCCTCCCCCTGCCCCGGAGGCGCCCGGCTGCTCCCTTCTTCGCCAGCCGAGATGGCTTTCGACCCCGCAGGTACGAGAGCGGGAGCGTGGTTTGCCTTGGGCCTGGGCCTGGATCTCGCGTCACGGGCCTCAGACTGCTTTTAGCCTGGGAAGGGTGCCGAGCTCTGAGGTTGCTCGGCTTCCGCCGACCTTACCTCACCGGGGCTGGCTACTTTTCCGTTTCCTGCTGACCTTGGCCTCTTCCTTCGGTTGTAGGTCATCTTGCTCGTTGGGGTTAGTGCTAGGTGAAGAGCGTTGGTTTGTCTCGTAGACTCGTCCGTTTCGGATCACGAAGACCTTCCTTCATTGAACGACTAGTTTCCTCATTGCCATCCTTTCTTCCCTGTGGATCACAGACCCCTTTATACAGTGTTCCGGACACTGGCTCGGTAGAGTTCCATTGTCGTGCCGGTGCACATTATTACTTTTTGACCTTACGTTCGTTCTTGTAGCCCAGTTTAGCAGTTCTAAGGATCCATCACTTTTCCGAATCAGTTTTTTTTGGAGGGGATCTCCAGTGTCTTGAATGTTATTTTAAGTGCTTCTACACACTTGCACTAGAGATTTGCAGTAGAAATCAGTTTGCAGTAGCGATCAAGTCCTCGTGAATTCTTGCACAAACTCACCCGCGGTATTTTATTTATTTATTTATTTATTTATTTATTTATTTATTATTATTATTTTTTTACTGTGTAAAGATCTAGGTATAGAACTTCAGTTTTAGAGGAAACATAAGACAAAAGGAATGGGTTTAGTCCATTCCTTTCATTTTATGGAATGAAAAAAAGACTGGGATAGTTTTAAATTTTTGAAGTGAAAAATTTGCTTTCTGGGCCCTCTAGGAGGTTGAAAAATACATGTAGCACACAATACATTTATTGAGCAGTGTATTATCAAACTATTCGGAATTATGAGGAGTGACAGTTTGTTTTATCTCAGTTTTTTACAGGTTGTAAAATTGAGGCCGAGAGAAGTTAAGTTATTTAGTAGTAAGATCAGCAAGTATCCTAATTTGAAGCATGAGGGGATTCTGGAATCCTTAATGATCTTGTCAGTTTTGACCTAGATGATGCAGACAACAATTGATTGGGATTTCAAGGTTACAATTTACAGTGGTTTGAGCTGGGAAAGAGGCAGAGACATGAGCAAAGGTCTAGGCACTAAGGTGTACTGTGTCATATTTGGTTTCAGGTTTTTTGAATCATAGAGGAAGAAGGGATGTAAATATAGGTGGCTAGGGAAAGTCAGGTTGAGTTTACATATAATTCTGGTATTTCTCGAATGGAAGTGATCATTGATCTCATACAGATGAGAAGACTGAGACTCAAGAGGTTAAAGACTTCCATATGTCCATGCTGAATTTAGACACATAAACAATTTGGGAAAAAAATACTTACTGTATTGCCACTTTCTTTTAGTTACTCTTTAACTTCAATTTTGTAGTATGCCCAAGGCCACATAGGTGCCTGTTAAGAGAGCCCTGTCTGGCTAGAATCCAGCTGATTTCATTTCAGTTTAGTGCTGTAGACTATGCCACCATTTTAATACTTATTAGGCACATAACTTGTTGAGGGCCCAGCATATGCCATTATTGTTTTGAACCCTAGGAAATAGTGGCATATAGCAGCTGTCCCCAGTCTCTTTGGCAGTGAAACAGAGACCTGTTTTTGAAGTTTTGTTTTACTCATTTTGGCTAAGGTTAGTGTGTAGACTCGACCCAAACTGTGATGGAGCCAAGCGCCCAGTGGGAAAATGGAACCGATGGAAGTTGTAAATAAAATGAGTGGGTCAAACATGAGCTAGAATGAGTGTTGGATTCTGATTTAAAGTCTGCCACTAGTTGCTGTTGTATAATTGAAGTACATTAGTTAACTTGTCACTATAAAGTCTTCCACCAGGTGTAGCTTAATTGACACATGCCTTTCACTGATAGGGTTTTGATGTAAGTGTGCAAGCAATTGCTCTCTTGTGGTCTCTATGTAGTCAAACCTCTCTGCTAATGTTAATCTGTATCTGCATTTGCTCCATATCACTAGCATCTCTGTCTAGATCCACCTCAGATTATGTTTCAAGGAGTGTGTAACCTACATTCCTTCTATATGCATTTAATAGTAGGGTTTGTGCTCTTGTGTGAATCTAATGCTGCCACTGATCTGATAGGAAGCAGAGCTCAGGTGTTAATGCAGGTGATGGGGAGCAGGTACAAATGCAGATGAGCTTAGCTCTCTGGGGGGCAGTTCACCTCCTGTTGTGCCACCTCCTTCCTAACAGGCCATGGACTGATAGTGGTCCATGGCCAAGGGTTTCGGGACTCTTGGCATGTAGGATAAATAAGACCCATCCTCCCAGTAGGAAGAATATACCCCTTCCCTATGCCTATATATACACATACACTCATAGAATGTAATAAGCTTTATAAGAAAATAAGCCCTGTGATGTGGTAGATCGTGAAGGGAAGATTAAATATTGAAGAACTCTATCAGGAAGTAACATTTGATTACAATCTGATGGATGAGAGGAAGTGGCTGTGTGTGAAGAGCTAGGAAAAAGTATGGAAGTAGAAATGCTTAAAATATATTTTTATTCTAGTTTATCAGTACATGTGTGTAGTACATAATGTTTACATTCCTTGTGGGAAGTTGGTACATATAGATAACACATCTTTAAAAAAATTAATTTTATTGGTACACTTGAGATATACAGTGTAATGACATTCATCATTGGAAATTTGCACCTTTACGTAATCCATCTTGATTATTTTATTTTTATTTTTATTTTTGGTACTAGGGATTGAACTCAGGTCCTTGTGCTTGCAAGGCAGGCACCAGAACCACTGAGCTAAATCACCTGCCTTCACCCCTTCCTATCTACAAGGACTTTGTTTCCATTTTTTCTTTTTCTTATGTTAATTCCATTCCCATCTTTTTTTTCCGCTACCCTTCCCATTCCCCCTTCCCTTTTGCACCTTTTCTTACTATTTCACATTATCTGTTATACCTTGTAGTCCTTATTTACACTTTCAGTTTCTCACACTAGAGAAACTTCGGTATGTACACGTGTCCTACTTATTTCACTTAAGTGTTGCTTCAATGTGCATCCATTTAGCTATATATGTCTCTAGTTTCTCATTCTTTATGGATGAGTACTACTCCATTTTATAAAAACAAAACAAAAAAACAAAAACACACATTTTCTTTATCCAGTCTCCAGTTGATGGGCATTTGGGCTGCTTCCAAGTTTTATCTATCATGAATTGTGCTGCTATGAACATGGGTACACATATATCACTGTGGTGTGATTCTTTGAATTCTTAGGGAAGATATCCAGCAGGGGAGTAGGACCTCCAGTCGTAGTTCTTCAAGGTATCTCCATACTGTTTTCCACAGTGGTTGTACCAGTCTTCACTCCTGCCAGCAGTGGAGCAGGGTTTCTCTTTCCCCACAGCTCTGCCAGCATTTGTCATTGGTTGATTTCATGATAGCAGTCATTCTTTCTGGGATGAGATGGAATCTCACTGTTGTTTTCATTTGAATCTCTCGAATGACCAGTGACGTTATTAAACATTTTTTCATGTTTATTTTCTATTTCTACTTCTTTGTATAACACATCTTAATTCTTTTTCATTCCCTTTCTTTTCCCTTCTCCTCCACCTACCTCTTCCACCTACCTTTTGATCCCCACCTTTTTTTTTTTTGTACATGTACCAGCTCTACACAAGTTTTGTAAATATTGTTTGCTGCAAAGCTGTGCAAATGCTTAAGATATTTGACTGGACATCAAGTGAGAGTGGGGAGGATATCCCTAAGAAAGATTTGGGAAAGTTGTAGAAGCAGGGTACCCTGCAATGATTTTTTTTTTTCCCTGATGATATCAAAAGCCATTAGGGGCTTTTAAAGAAAGCAGTGGTGTAATGTAATTGGTTTACTCTCCTGGTTTCAGTAGCAGTATAGATTAAAGGGGGGTCAGGAGTGGAAAATAGGAAACGTGTAGCGGTAAGCATGGTAGACAAACATGTTTTTATCTTAGCCTAAGGTGATGTTGGAAAAAATGGAAAGCAAGAAAAGGTGCCAGTTTATGTTTTGGAGGGGAAGTTGTCAAGACCTGCTTTTGATTTAGTTAAGGATGGTGAGAGAAAAGGGAAGAATTAAGGATAATTCTAGGCTTTTTACTCCACCAGCTGAGTGGATGGTGGTGGTCAAATCTAACAACATGAAATCCATTGGAAAGTTTGACAAAAGTAGGTTTGGAAACAGTGGAAAGTAAGAAACTAGTCAACAAGTTGGGAAGATTTTTTTTTTTCTTAAATCGCCTTTGTTCATCTAACTTTCAAAATGTAACGTGTTAAAACCAGCTTTATAAAAAATTTCAATTTTGTTTGGTTTTGTTTTATTTGGCAAGTTTAGGTTCACATTTTGATATGTTATGGCATTTTGCAGCCCAAAGTAGTATTGTTTCCATACCAAGCAGATGAGTAGTTATACCAAATGAGGTTTATAAAGCAAAATCTGTTTCCCCCTTTGTGTACATTTTTGAGATCTTTATACACCTTTGATTTTCATTTGGCAGCACCTTTTAACTAACTTCGTAGGTGCCATCTTTTCTCAAAATCTGATCCCCCCAAAATGATGTGCAGATACAGCTTACTAATTTTTGTGTGTACTTTTACTTGTTTTCCCTTTGGTAATGTAGAGGTAATAACAATCTTTGTAGGTTTATCAGCCATAATTGTATTCACTATTTCTATTACAGTATGTAGAGGCTGGAGAGAGTCCAAAACATCTAGGAAAAGCGGCTGTGAGGAAAGATTAAACTTTCAAAAACATATTGATGTCTAAGCTGTACTCTTAAATATCCAGATTAAATTTGTCTGGGTTAGGGCCCAAGCTTACAGTATTTTAAAATATAAACAGTTCTTATGTGCAGACGGAATAGAGGAGAAACAAAATTTTGAACTCTCCCAATTTGTCCTTCAGTTTTTTTTTCGTTTTCCAGTCCAATCCGTATTCTTAAAGGAAATTCTCCCTGTATCTTTTAGCCATCAATAGGACCTTTGACCCTGTATTAATGACACAAGAATTCTCAGTGCAGTTTATTATCCTGTAATTAGAGTTAAGCATATTTAGCCTTATTCTGTTAGTTTTACCAATTTATAATTCTTTCTACAAATATTGTATATTTAAAAAATCTAGTCGAACTAACATAATTAAAATTTTAGAAGTTTTAAAATTCATATAAGCCATTGTCACATATAGAAACAAATGTTAAAAATTGGTGCTTCTTTTCATTAATTTATTATTTTTTTTTATTAGTACATTTGCAGTGCATAATGTTTACATTCCTTGTATGGAGTTGGTACATGAATATAACACATCTTAATTAGTATAATCTTCCAACAGGTAAAAGTATGACTAATGCAAATATAAAATGAATATGTGTTGAAGATTTTCTTCAACTAATTAATTAGTGACAATACCAGTAAGATATAAAAATCAGTCCAAAAAGCATTTGAGAAGCTACTACCCAGACAGTTTCATAGATTGGTGCCCTAGATAAAAAATAATATATCAAAGTTAACTTTGGGGTTGTCTTTTTCTCTGTCTCCGAATTATTTCTACCTGACAAAATTCTAGAGATGAACCTCTGCCCCAACAAGTTGTAAAATAGTCTAGTAATGGAAGGTACTGAAAGAACACACAGTTAAGCCTTGCGTGTTCCAGGCGACTTTTCTGACATTATGACATAAACCTGGGCCTGACAATTTAGAGTTTTTGCTTTCTCTGTTAGTCATTCCTTTCTTCTTTCTGCCTGCCTTCCTTTTAGCAGGGTAGGAGGTTTCTCTTTTGTCTGTAGTTAGTTTGGATTCATTCTCTACTTCTACAAAATGGGACAGTGGCAGCCCAAGCAAATTTCTTTTAATTTTGTGTGTGTGTGTGTGTGTGTGTGTGTGTGTGTGTGTGTCTGTGTCCATCTGTGTCTTCTCAACTGGTGTTTGCTTCCAGGATTCTGGTAAGTGGAGAAAGGTGGGGCAGTAGTAAGGCTTGGGTGGAAATGGAATGAAGAGCATTAAGATATTTCATGAGTGAGTGTTTAAAGTATGTGTCTTAGGAGGAAGTCACTATAGCAGTGTGGAGTAAGTGGTTTGCTGGGATTCTTCTAGTGGTTCCTGTGGGAATGTGGATAGGTTAGCTTGAAGGGTACTAGCACTCATTTAGTGGAAAGTTTTACCTTTTAAGTTATATATCTAGACAGATTTTTAAGAAAATTTTTTTCTGAGCATTATGTGATTAATTATGTGAAAGATTATGGAGTTGAGTGGAAAATTTTTGCTTGTATTATTACTTCTGTCTCTTCAGTATCTTCTTAGATATGCATTATATTTCTTTTGAGTTTTTTTTTTAGACATGAATTACATTGGTAGCTCAAAACTTAAAAAAAGTGGTTAGCTTCTGCATTTTGTATATTTCTAAACTATTTGCAATAGAAAATAAAGTGTTCGTATTTCACTAGATTAACAACTTTCTGAGGGGTTGCTTGGTGAAATAAGAAAAAAAAAATAGTTTGAACAAAGAACATAAGATAGAACAGTTGAGATCAAAGAAGAATGTATGCCGTGGCCGAAGAGGACTTTAAGTTGTGAATCATGAAATGCCCTGTGAACCATATCAAGAACTTTGAATTCTGTCTTAAGAACTAGAAAGACACTTCAATTTTTTAGTTAAGTCATAACTGAAGTAGAACTTTCCTTTCTATTTTGGCAATTTTAATTTATTAGTATGTGTTTGCAGTACATAATGACTACATTTTCCTCCTGGGTAGTTAATTCATCTACTTAACACTTCTTTATTCTTTTTTTCATCTTCTCCCCTCCCCTCCCTATCACCTCTCTCATCTCTTGGTCCCCTTCCCATTTTCCAAAAGATCTATCTTCCTATTCCCGTCTGTCTTTTATTTTGCTATTTATTTATATTTTTGGGTTTCTCATATAAGAGCAAACATACAATATTTAATCTTCTGGGTCTGATTTATTTCATTTGACATTATGGTCTCAAGGTACATCCATTTTCCTACACATGATTCAACTTACCCTTTATGGCAGAGTAGTACTCCATTGTGTATAAATACCACATTTTCTTTATCAAGTCACCTGATGATGAACAGATAGGCCACTTTCAAAGTTTAGCTATTATGAATTGTGGTTCTGTAAACATGGTTATGCATGTATCACTGTAGTATGATTTCTTTAGCTCTTTTGTGAGGATAGTTAGAAAGGAAATAGCTAAGTCGAATAGAATTTCTATTTTAATTTTTTGAGGATTCTCTATACTGATATCCATCATGGTTGTTAGTACTGTTTTATATTCCCAACAATAAAGAAGGGTTCCTTTTTTCCCAGAAGCCATGCTAGCATTTTGTTGTTATTTGATTTCTTGATGATAACCAATCTTTTTGGAGTAAGATGAAACTCACTATTGTTTTAATTTGCATTTCTCTAATGGCCAGAGATATTTAATAATTTTTCATGTATTTACTACCTTTTTGTACTTTCATCTGAGAAATATCTATTCATTTCAGTTGCCCATTTTTTATTGGTTATTTTATTTAGGTAAATTGATTTTTTGAGTTCTTTATATATTCTAGATATTAGTCCTAGGTGGCAATTTTTTTTTTCTATTTGGTAATTGGCTGTTTTCTTGCTGTGCAGAAGCTTTTTAATTTGATGAGATCCCATTTGTTGATTCTTGATGTTATTTCATGTCCAGTTGGGGTTCTGTTCAGGAAGTTCTTACCTAAACCTCTGTCATCAAGAGTTTTCCCCATATTATCTTCCAGCAGATTGTGTTTGTTTTAATGTTTAGATCTTTGATCCATTTTGATTTTAGTTTAGTACATGGTGAGAGATAAAGGCCTAAATTCAGTCTTCTCCATGTGAATAGCCAGTTTTCCCAACATCATAGTAAAGAGGCTTTCCTCCATCATGTATTTTTGGCCTCCTTTTGGATTAGATGGAGTTTATGCCCACTCAGCTGAATACTATAAGTGATGATGTTTCTTTCTCATGATCTCCTACCTTGGAGGCACATGGTATCCATCTCTTGTAGATTATGTCACCTGTGCTTGGTTTTGTTCCATATCTTTGCTACTTTTTTTCCCCTCTAGCAACTAATACATAATCTGTGGGAGTCGCTTAAGACTATTCATATGTCTGTTCTTCATAAAATTATTTTTAAATTTAACATCACTTGGTGATTTTCACTTGATTTAGTATTTCCCACGTTCATTTCAAATTGATGGTTTTCTATCTCTCCACACCTTCTTCATTTATTTACTAGATGGGTGTTGACATTTTGCTGTAAGCAAAAGACCGCTTTGTTTCCTATTCACCTATTTCTGGATTTTTAAATTGGTGTTATTGGTTATAGTTAATGAAGTCCTATGTTTTCAGTGGTTATACTTTTATTAGTGTACATAATTATATTTGTGCTCAAAATTTTTCTCAGATTTGGCAAGTGAGATTTCCTTAAAGCAAATTTCTGGAGCAGTGTAATATGCTCCCATCATTTTTAAAGCATTTCCTTTTTTTGTTTTGTTTTGTTTTTTTGTTTTAAGATATCACTGGCTTATCTTGTATCTACTTTGATCCATCCATTAGATTAGAATTCTTTTTAGAAGTCCTGTTTCTTTTTAGACATTTACTTGAGAACAAATTTGGTCACTAGGTTTGGATACTACTTGGATGTTTTATTAATTGAGTGTTCTTGGGGAAAAAGAGAACAGAGTAAGGGAACCAGGAGAGGGGAGAGGAAGAAGCAGAAGTGGTTTCCTGGAAGGCTAATTTGAGCACAGTCATTGATGGTGCACCACAAAGTATATAATTTGTTCTGTCTTGAGGCAAGGGAGCTGGACTTTTGGGCCATCTATCAGTCACTGATTCATGTAGAACTTGGAAGCTAGGCAGCAGCAAGGAAATCTAAGGGGGAACCATGCCCATGGGTAGTCTTGAGAAAACTGCCAGGATGAATGTTTCAGCATTCTCTGCCATGGGAGGGGTACCTGCTCTGTCCTAAAAATAATTTCTCCGAAGCTGTGTAGAATCTTAGATTGGATAGTGAAAATTTAGGCAGTGATAGGTTAGATAGGAAGGGGTACTTGCACACCTGTATTACATTCTGTAAAGTATACAGGATTTTTATCAGAAGGTTTGAATAACATTGGCCTAAAATGTACCAAATTTCATTTTTTTTTTGGTCTTTTAACCATTAGTATATGCTGTTCCTTTTTTTTTTTTTTTAGAATTTTCCCACTTCCTCCCATATCTATCTAATTCTTGTCCACTTCTTTAAATTTGATTTCATAAGAGGCTTTCCCTGGTTTTCATTACTCCCCAGTCTTTTAAAATTTTTTTTAATATTTGGAATTTTTTAAAAAATCTAAAATTGCACATAAATTGTATAGTATTTCATTTTAGATCTAGAGTTTTTTTTCTTGGGGAATAAAGTGAACTCTACAGATGTGTTATGTCTTTAGGTAGCAAATTAATTTGAAGAATGAATTAAAACATGGAGAATGAGAAAATTCAAGCTGGGTAGTAAACAGTAAGTATTTTTCATATAATCACACTTCTTTAAATTTACTAGGGGCTACATGACTATAAAGGATAGGCCTACACGTAGGAGATTGTCCACCAAGACTGCAGTACATTGTTGTAGAGTCCCAAATTTGGTAGTTAGTAGGACTTCTTGTTTCAGATTTTGTGACAAACTGATTTTAACTGTATAATGTGAAGTTTTGAGAGGTTGGAAGAGTTACATAAATCAAGTAAGGTTTCTTTAAAGCCTGAAACTTCAGTGATTTCCAGTGATTTCTTTGATCGCAAGGAGTTCTAACTCAGCACAGAAGGTTCATAGGAAAACAAAACAAAACACCTTTATTTTTTCATTAACTGAATTAGTACCATTTTTTAAGGGTATCAATAGCATATATGTAGGAATCTCTTTACAGGTGTCGTGAAGCTGAGAAATACTATCTAGTACTTGACATAAGTGAACCAAACAAAATTATGCCCAAATAAGAATATTGATACCCAAATTATCCTTCTTTCCAATAGGTTCCCTATTATATTTCCACATTTTAATGTAAAGAGACAATAATGGGAAATTTTTTAAAGAACTGGTGTTTATTTTCTCATTGTGTTTTTACTGAAGAACCGTTACTGGGAGATTTTTTAGACATCAGAGAAGTTAATTATCTAATGATTAATTGAAAATGTGATGCAGAACAAGGGAGTTACATTACTTACTACAGTATGTATGATCCCTAGAGTGTTTGGTATATAATAGGTACACAGTAAGTATTTGTTCACAGAGTATCTGTGACTGTCAGATATTGAAATTTCTTAAATAGGAATGTTATTTGTTAAACAGTTTAATAGTTCTACCAGGTACCAGGAATTGGAGGGAATTACAAAGAATTAGATGCAGTTCCTTATTTCATTTAACTTAACTGTTTCTTGCAATAGTTCTTTTTCTGTTTTCTTTTTTTAAAATTGAATTTATTGGTACATTTTAGGTGTACAGTACAGTTACATTCATTGTTGGGATCTTGTACCTCCACGTGACAGGTCTTGGTTCTCATTTTTTCCCCTTGTCCCTGCCCTCCCTTCACCCCCTCCTCCCCTCCCCATTTACAAACACTTTATTTCCATCTTTTCATTTTCTCACATTTTTTTCTTTTCCCTTATCTACTTGCATTTTAGAATTATTTAAGAGTTGGTTTTTTGTTGTTGTTGTTTTTTTTTTTTTTAAATACTAACACCTGAGTGTTACCCTAGCATTTCTGATTTAACTGATCTGGGTGGGGTCAAGCATCAAAATTTTGTAAAATCTTCCTAGGTGGTGGTTTTTAGCATAGAAAGGTTTAGAACTTGTACAGAAACCTTTACTCAGTTTCAGGCTGCCATAATGAGATGCTATAGAGTAGGTAGTACATACAACATAGACTTGAACAATAGAAATCTATGTTCTTGCCCTTCTGGAAGCCATGGAATCCATGAGCAAATGCCAGCAGCTGATTAGTTGCTGTGAGGACTCTTTTCCTGGTTTGCAGATGGCTTCTTTTCTCTGTGCCCTCATATGGTGGAGGATAAGGGAGTCTCTGCCATTTATATAACCATACATTCTGTTATATTAGGGCCTCTACAATTGTGGCCTTGTTTAACTACCTCCTAAAAGTTCTGTCTCCAAGTACAGTCACGTTGCAGGTTAGGACTTCCACATGTGAATTTTGGGGAAGGTGGGGAACTCAATTCATTCCATAGCAGCTGTTGATCTAGCTGGAGACTGCATAATGGGATGTGACATATTATACATTCAGATGTGATTAAAGTGATAGAATTGATGCAAATAAAATCTCATGGTTAGAAAAAGAAATCACTTTTGTGGTGCTGAGATGAAAGAATGTTGAATTGGATTTTAAATAACTAAATTTTGATAATGAAAAACAAGAGAAGATATAACAGATAGAAGATTGAACTGGCCATTTATTTTACCAGTTTCCGGATAACTAAGTTAAAGTATTGCTTTGAGCTCTGTTGATTTACCAACTTCTTAAGGAGATGATGTTTGCAGGACATTTCCTTTTATCATTCCTTCCTTCTGCAAATGTTTACTGTGCTCATTTTGCATACTATGTAAATGTAAGGTGATTGTCCAGATAAGAAAGATAATATAACCAATGGGATGACAAAATAAACTTTCAAATTGTAGAAAATTTGAGATTGAGATACTGATAGGTAGGATTTGGAATTAACAATAAAGTTGACAATGTGAACAGAGCCCAGTTGCAGGTGAGCATTGACAACTTTATATCATAAATGACATCTTTAAAAATATAAGCTTGTGGAATTGGCTCAAAAGTAATGCAAGTAGTTAATTACCTTTGGATCTTACATTTTTAAGTAGTTACCATTGTTGAAGATATATTTGAGACTGCTTAAAAGCTTTCCTTCAGCTACTGCAATAAAGTATTTTTAATGTCTTTATTTTGATAAATACTTGTTCTGAAAATGAATATAAATTTCAGCCAAAGGTTAGCCAGAGATAATCTGATGAGGGTGATAGCTAATTATCCTGGAAAATACTTCTCCCTTTTCTCCATGTATTATAGATCTGGTTTTCATGTTTGAGTAAACCATGGCCATACTAAGAAACATGATGTGATTTGAACAAAGGCTGGGTCTATGAAATGAATAAATTTTCAATATAATAATTATACCCACTATCAAAGTAGTACATGTTCTTTAAATAAATTTTATGAAATATTGTTAGAATGAAGAAGAACCAATGGAGATATATAGTATTCTGCCATCCTTTATATTTAAATGAGGGGAAAAGTGAGTCAGTTAGGCAATACATAGTATTGGTAAGTAGGCTATGGTCAAGCTGTCTTTTATTCGTCAGATATCTTCTGTTCCTCATAAATCTGTTTTTATAAAACAAGGTACCATTGTAAAAAAGGATAGTCTCAAAATTTTATCAAATAAAATAAGCATATAAGTTCACTTAAGAAATTATGGCTATAATGGAGATTGCAGCACATTTCTAAATTTGGCATGTTTTATTGCATAAGTTGATTTCCTGTGTTGGTACATTTTAGGTTTGTTGTCCCTTCTAGCCTCATCTTTGTTAAGGTAATGTGGGTGAAGGAGGAAGTTTTCCTACCTAGTAATCTGCAAAATCTGAAGTACAATAGTTACTTTTGGGAAATGGGCACATCTAGTGTAAAAGAGGTGGTTATCAGCAATGAAAGCTGACAGGACAAAGAAGTTCAAATGAAGCATATTATTGTGGTTTATAGGTAGTATTTGACTCCAAAGTTAAGCAGAAATAAGCATATTTACCTTATTTATGTAATTTAGATATTTTGTAAGAGTTTGAACTTATAAAAAACTAGATTGTTGGCAGTTGACCCAATATTTGATGATTTTTTTTTTTTTGTCTTTGAAGGTGTTTTTCAGCCACCTCACAAATTGTTCCTCTTGCTTTTTTAGAAGTTTTTCTTTCCATTATAGAATAAGAATTCCATTTGATTTTATTTTCTGTTCAAAATGAAAACTGTGAAGTTTTAAATTTTGCTTGTTCTGAAACACAGTCTTTGAGTGTAAGGGTTGTTCCCATGCTTTAGCACAACTGTAGAAGCCTAAATCTTGTCTGTCCCCTTATATAGGCCACTATCCCATGTGTAAGGTGGTGTCATGGAAGATTTGGGACCTGGGTCACATACCTGATCTTGACATTGCTAAGTTCATGAGAAGCTTAGGTAATTTTACTTTTGTGAGCCTCCACTTTTTTCTTTTTTTAATCTGCAAAGTAGAACGAAAATACTTACCTGAAAGGTCTTTAGGAAGAGTATATGAGATTCATTGTTGCCCCCATCAACTTGTTTCTTGGCCAGAAGTAACTGGAGTAGTAAGGGGGAAAATCTCTCCTACTATTGACTTCTTTTTATTTTGTCAGTTCAGGTATGGCTTGAAGGGAAAAAGATACGAAGAAGATTGATACTCACTGTCTTAATTTTCCCAGTGTAAGACTTCTCTAAATCCCTTTCCACATTTAATTGCAAGAAGATATGAAGAGGTTTGTAAGAATGTAAAAATCTGGTTATGAGTGTTCCTATCTTTGTGAGGGAGAGAGCTGGAGTCTGTCTAGTTTTTGGGTATGAAGCATGTGGGCGCTAATGTTGAGATTAGTGATCTTATGTTGTACATGATCTCTCTGGTCTCTTTTTTTTCAGGCTCTTGGTAGCTAGTAGAGGAGAGGGACCTCAAGACAGAAGCTATTGCTAATGAGAATAGTTTTGCAGATTTATTCCAAGCATTTTTGTTTTTCCTCTAGAAATGAGTGGTAGCATGGAGATATTTTTAGGAGCAAGTAAGAACAGCTAGGAACTTTTTAGAAACATTGCATTAATGTAAGTAACAACCGGGTTAATTGTATCAGATCACTTTTGGTATTGAAAAGGCATACTTTGCCCTCTGGTTGTCATATTCTTTCCTATGAAAGATTCTGTAATACTCTGATTTGCTTCACTATTATCTTTGTGGATTTATAGCCTCATAATATAGTTCTGCTGTAGTGCAAGAACATATGAGCCCCAAAGCAAAATCAGAGCTAACAAATACCGCCAGTGGAAAAGGTGAAAATTGACTTTCAGGTGATGATAGAATGTTGAGAAATTATAGAGCTTTGGAAATTTTCCCTGGTAGTGTTATCCTGATACTTTATCTTAGTATAAATTCATGTGACTATATAAGTAGCAAACTTTGAAAATTTGATTTTTTTGGCAGGCTATTGTATAAACATATAACACGTATCTATATATATATCTGACATTGACATTAAGGGAGTCAGTTTGTAATTTTATGAATAAAAAGTTCCACATGCATAATATTCATAGTGTTAAAGATAGCTTTGAAATATGTATTCAATTATAATTAGTTCATGGAAATAAAGTGTTTGTAAATGGGAGGGGAGGAGGGAGTGAAGGGAGGGCACGGACAAGAGGGAAAAAATGAGAACCAAGACCTGTCATGTAAAGG